ATATATATATATATATTGAAATTTCACAAAAGATATTACAACATATTTTCAGTTTTGATTTTTATAGACTATCAGTTATCAAATTTTAGCCTTATGAAGGCAATTCTACAGAGGGAATGTTTATATTGTGATTTGGTATATTCAGTTGTATAGTACTATTTAGCATAAACATCGTATACCAAAGAAGTGTAATCTTTTGTTGTTCATTTCCTTTGTTGCTATTTTAAGACTTTAATGAGTCAGATAGGAGTAGTTGTTTATTTTACCTAAACTGAAGCTCTTAGTTTCAGTAAGTTGTTCTCCAGATTTATAAAGCAGTAGAATCATTCGATATAAGCAGTTGGAATCGTTCATTCATTCCGTAAATACTTATTAAGTACCTGTTATGTGCTTGTGGGTATTGAGAAATGTAAGAACTGGTAGGGAATGATATTTAAGAACAGACTGCCTATGTTCATGAAAAAAAAAAAAGCAATTACCAGCATTAATAAACAACAAACAAATATAAATCGATAGGTGGATGGATGGGTAGATGGGCGGATGGATGGCTAGATGGACAGAAACAGATAGACAGATACCTACTACTAAAAAAATAAGATTAATGTTAGGATTAGTAGTATTACAATATTATGTTGTCAAAAGCCTGTTAACTTTTTTAATATTAAGGTTGACAGATTTGCAATGGAATTAGAACAGAGCCGGGATCTGAATAATACCATGGTGCACATTGACATGGATGCTTTCTATGCAGCTGTAGAAATGAGGGACAATCCAGGATTGAAGGATAAACCCATTGCTGTAGGATCATCAAGTATGTTGGTAAGTAGGTAAGGATCAAAAACAAAAAGAAAATTTCGTAACATATTCAAGTAAGCCTTACTGATTTATGAAGAGGGAAGACTTTATTGAATTCCACCAGTTTATTGAGTAATTTTCTGGTTTCTTTATGTGTTCAATTACTAAATAAATCCTTTCAACATTACTTGAGGTACAAATTTGATTTCCACTTGAAAGATAGGAAAACAAACTCAGAGAGATGTTTAATAACTTCCCTAAAGTTACAAACCTGGTAAATGGTAGAGTGGCACTGTATCTTTCTGTTGCAAATTATATTTTTCTTAACTGTTCTGGTTAAAGAGATTTGAAGAAGCAAAAAAACCCCAAAAAAACGTTATCCTAAAGCACAAGTTTGCAAACAATAGCCTGAGGTCCAAATCCAGCCTGCCCCCCTTTTTATAAATAAAATTGTACTGAAACACAGTCACACCCATTCATTTATTATTATTGTTGCACTAAAAGAGCATAGCTGAGTAATTGCAACAGAGACCATAAGATCTGCAAAGCCTGAGTAATTACTATCTGACTTTTACAGGAAATGTTTGCTAATCCATTCTAGAGTAACATATTTCATTAACATAATACTGTAATTAAGTAGTTTTTCCCAGGCTTGGAACCTTTGCTTTGTTGATTACTATGTTGCTGTTCCTTACTCCACCCTAACTATAGAAGGTAAGGACGACCAGGATAGCCATATTAGCTAAAAATGTGTTGGGAATTAAAAATAGCAACTGGACTAGTTGGGTTTTGCTATTAAAAAAAAATACAAGAAAAACAAAGTTCTTCCCTATTCCCTAACTCCTTCCAATGCCTTAAATAGCTATAAACCTAATTTCTACTTAGTTATTTTTGTATTATAAAACTGTAATCTGTTCATTATCTGCCCCCATGAGTATGCAGGCAACTAACGGTCCTAGCTCCAAAACAGTGTTTATTGAAAGGACATTCCCCTTTCCTATAAGTCATCAACTCATATTTGGAAAAAATATATTTAATTGCATTAAGAATATATAACACCATTATTTATATATACCAAATTATATATGTGTGTATATAGTATATATAGATGTATACTATATATATGCACACATGCCATAGTCATGTTAAAGCTGAATTCACTGCTAAATCCACAAAATATGTTCTTTCCTGTAATTTTTATCCTCTTAAAAATTGGTTGTTTCCAAATTCAAAATGATTTTTGTTATATTTAAACAAAGATTACCCCCCCTTGTATGCTGAACTAATAGATTTCCCTTCTAATGAGATTTGAAGCATAATTGTTTTTGTCCTGTTAAACTCATAAAAATTTGTCTACAGAATAGTGGTGGTGATGATACTATGTGTGATTATTCCAGTCTGTTACAGTTAAAATTATTTTTTAATGAATTTGATGGATCCTTAAAATGTTTAACTTAGTACTCCTAGTTAGAACTTAGACCTTGTAGCAGTTATTTATTGCTGCATAATGAACCCCTCAATGGACAACAGTTTGTTTGCTCATGATTCTGTAATTTGAGCAGATTACAATGGGTATGGCTAATCTCTACTTGGGGTTGGCTAGAGCAATTTATTGGGTTGTTGGGAAAGTTGTGACGTATTTTTTCTATATTTTTTGTTGCAAAAATGCGTCATGACTTTTCCGACAACCCAATAGCTGGGGCTGGAGGATCCAAAATGGCTTCACTAACAATGCCTGGCACTTGGACTGACCGAGATGGCTGGAATGGCTTCTAGCCATTCAGCTTTCCCCTCTCGTTGTGTTGCATCATTATTTAATAATACTATGAGCCCTCATACTATAATCCAAGATCTTTACATGGTTCCCAGATTTCAAAAATGCAAAGGCAGAGGCTGCAGACTTCATAATGCCTAGGCTTCATGCCTCACATAATGTCACTCCCTCATATTCTTTTAGTTAAAGTACATCATAATGCAGGTCACTTGGCGCGAGGAACTAAAACCCATCTTTTGATAGGAGGAGCTATAACATATAGTGGCTATGATTTTCCATCTACCACAAACCTAGAAGTTAAACGAAGTCAAATCTAAAATTTTATTTCTACTCTATTATTCCGGGGATGCCAAAAAAATGTATATACATGACTTGTATTCATCTTCTGTTATCAGTATATACTGAGTATTACAATTTTAATACAGTTTTTTCCTCTCTTAAAATGTGTATACATTTTTTGGCACCCTCTGTGGATCTAGCTTTTACGTCAATTCCATTAGACTTATTTATATTTAAAGTATTGGTTTGTCTTTATAGTGCTATCTGCATTTTCTGTTCTAGAATACTGACCAAGGATTAGCATAGTTTTGAGTACTATGAACATTTTTTAAATGACATTTGAAAACCATTAATGGCAAATTGATATTCTTATTGTGAAATGATTACTCCATTTGATAGATTCTGTTTTGCTTTTCTTTGACTTTTCACTTGAGATTTCAGAGATTTCATTTGTGATAAAAAAATTTTTATGTGGTACTATGGTCAACCTGTTGACATAGACTGTTGTCAGGTATCATCAACAGGGTTTAATAAGTAATGTTCTTTTTATTCTCAATTTTTTAGTTCCACCTCCTAGTTAAAGTGTTTTCATTAAAAAAGAT